TAAATTGTGAATCCTAGGACACCGAATGCATAGTCTTCCATGTTCACAGAATGCAATCCGGCAACCACCCATAGATGCTTTCTGTCGCAAATACATCCCACAGCCATTCAGTCTCTCATTTCCATACGCATTCACCTCATGTATCCATCATGTATACCCACCATCTTCATTTCCTAAGAACATCTCTGAACTCCACAAGCAGTCCAAAGGTATTCATGGAAGACGAAAATGGTTGGAGGCCTTCACTATGAGAAGGATTCGTGCAGGTAGTAAGGATTTTTTTTTAAGTTGGATGGGTAGAATGCCTCAGCAGATGCCAAGAAAGGCATGGAGAGCAGCATGCTGCCTACCTCAAATTAGATTTTTTTTTAAAAAACTGCCATTCCATGCTTGCATATTTTAATTAAAAACAGACAAATTAAAACTGCCACAAGTATTTGCTATGGCTAAATGATCTGTTAATTTATATGCATACACATCTTTAATTTCATTTATTAAAGCTGCTGTAATACAGCTACCTTCCTGGATGAAATTCCGATTGAACTCAGTAGAATTTATTTTGAGTAATTATGTATAGACTGGCACTGAACACTTCTCATGTCTAGCTATGCATTTTTCAGAACTTATCATAAACAGGGAAGCAATGCAAAATATGACAAGATACTGTTAAATGTTTTTGTACCTACATTATAGCTTGTATAGGCACTGTTGTGTAGTATCAAAAATTAACGTGTGGTTATCTGTATGGATAACATCTGTTCTTTTTGTATATAATACAAAAGTCAGCTTGGTTATCTTTGAATTTCTAAGCTTGAAAACTTAGTTTATTGTATTTATGTAGTTTTTTATTTCAGTTTTTCAAGATGCATATGTATATATGACATGATGTGCAAATGCCTTAAAATTAACTGAATAATGTGTTACAATCTACACAGAATAAAAGGTCTAAGGAATGAGCATGTTATGTTAGATTACTACTTTTCTCAAAACCTTGTTTTCTTTGTATTTTGAGAAAGTATTTACTATATACACAAAGCAAGTCACTAAAACTGACACACATCTTGGGTACAGAAAAGGAAGCATATTCCAGTATTAAAATATTTCATCATATTCTTTCACTGACTTTCTTTTAAAAGCAACAGAACAGCATCATAGTCCAACATCTATTTTGATGTAATTTTCCAGGGATTTCAAAGTTGGCGCTTAAGCATTATCTATATATACACGTCTTCTTAAATCATTCAAATCATTTATGTTAATGTCTTGCAAAACTATTACTGTTGGTTTTGTCTGAGTGGGATTAAATTCAATGGTGATCAAACAACAGAGGTCTATTAGTTCTCTTTGGCAGTTCTGTAAACCCTCCTTAAGCTTTGAGCATTGGACAGGATCTTTTCTTAATTGTTTCATTTCAAGCACTGAAAACCCGATTAAGCTTGTTAGGATCTCATCAGCAAAATCAACTTCTAGATAAGCTGTACCGTCAGATATTTTTGCTGTTATGTTCCAGAAGCCATCATTACTTCTGAGATTTCCTGTAAGCGTTACTATAAATGCTTTAACTTTCACAGTGATAACGCCTATGGGCTTGCTACTTAGTAAGATTGATAAATATGTGAAAGGAGTACTATCTAGCCTAATGTTGTGGCACTTATTCTTTATTCTGTAGGTCTGCATATAGTCAGAACATTTTTCAAGTCCTGCATCAACATCTGTTAATTCGTTTTTAGAGATACTGAAGGAGTTTTCATTGTTTTTACTATTTCTCTCTTGGGTAAGCTTTTCTCGAAAGTAGTCATCTAAGTTCTGTGCATGTTGTACATTATGTTTTACAGAAAAATCTTTTATGTTCTTTTTGAAGATATCACAAATTGCACTTTCTCCATCTTTCTTTTG